AAAATTAACTAGTAACTGTGAATTAATCAAATAAATTTTACTACTTCTGTATAACTGTAGGTATATATAAAGTATAATTATATTCATACAATTTTAAGTGTTTCTTAAAGACCTCCAAAAAATCTCCCCATCAAAACTAACTTCCATAATCTACTGTCAGAGCAACAAAGCGGGCCACCTTTCACACGCCCTCACAGTCCAGGCGGCGATGATCCACAGAGAAATGGTGAACACCAGCAGCACTGTCCCAGGACAGATAGTCATGAGGGTCTTCATGACAAAGCGTGTGTTGAAGTTTATCTTGTTGAGGGCACCGATACTGCGTGACGAAGCATCGGTGAAGAGTTTGCTATGCAGCAGCATGACACGAGCAATGAGGTACAGACGGAGAAACATGGGAATGGACAGGATGATATCCACATCGGCGTCCGTCTTGGACGGTGCGTAGGAAAAGGCTAGCCGTGCCGTCCACGTGAAGGTGTAGTTGCCCGGGATGGGGTGTATGGCGCACACCAAGATCTCCAGACAGATGAAGAAGATGCGCTCGTAGGTCATGGCTATCCTCCAGTCGTCTGCAGCGTTGTCCACCATGAACAGCTATCCGGAGGGAAAAAAAATTTAAACATTTTTGCAGTCTTTATAACAACTTTCTAATAATATATACTGTAAAAATGATTTTTCAAAGTTGTAAATAAAACAAAGATTATTAGAGTACAGGTTTTAAAAGAAAATCCTAATTCAGTCTTCTACTTGGTTTCAACCCAGCACTTGAATGAACTACTCACTGAAAAATCATGTAAATTATTCAGAAACAACAGTAAAATATCAATAGTCACTTATTGATTTGTTTCTATAAAAACAATACATTTTAAATGTACCGAAGAATATTCAGATATGTACACTCTAAAAAAAGATGGTTTTATTTAGAACCATAGCATTCTGAAGAACCCTTTTATGATGAAACGGTTCTTTGTGTTAGAGTTTAGGGTTCTATATTCCCGCTCTTTTGTTTTTCAAATCTGTAACTGACAAAGCATCTCATTTTTGATTTTCTGGAGTTCAGTGATCCAACTACACAGACTGTCAACACACTCTTAACAGGTAAACGATTTCATTCTTAAATTTAAACACAAATTTAACTTTAAAATTGTAACTGGTTTACAAGCAAACATGTTCTTATCTTTTTTTGTTTTGTTTTTGGTCACATATAAGTGTGTGCAGTCTGTGGAAACTTCTCTCCTCTTCTCTTATTTTGTGTTTTACTTTATGTATTTATTTATGTTCAATGTCCATTGTCATTCATTAATGTATTCTGCTAATAACTGTTGTCAGAACACTGTCATTTTTGCTACAATTTCACACCATTAAAAAAAAAGTACCTTATTGACACGTTGTTGTTGATTTTATGTAAAACCCTAGACACTTCAAGATATCATAAGACCAGGCAGATAGAGGGGTACAAAACAATATGAATAAATAATATAAACAAATAATACTAATATTAATGATATTAACATACTAATATTAATGAAAAACTATAATTAAAAAGGTTATTTATAACACCATTAAGGTCCTATATATCATTTTCAAAGCATGGTTCTATATGGAACCCTATAAAAAAGGTTCTATTTAGCACTAAAAAGGGTTCTGCAATTGTTACAAGCTGAAGAACCCTTTTCTGGTACTGTTTAGAACCATTTTTCTTAAAGGGATAGTTCACCCAAAAATAAAAATTCTGTCATCATTTACTCGCCCTCATGTCGTTCCAAACCTGTATGTTGAACTCAAAAGAAGATATTTTGAAGATTGCTGGTAATCAAAAGTTGGTGGTTGCCATTGACTTCCATGGTATTTTTTTTCCTACTATGGAAGTCAATGGCAACCACCAACTGTTTGATTACCAGCAATCTTCAGAATATCTTCTTTTGTGTTCAACATAAGAAAGCAACTCATACAGGTTTGGAACGACATGAGGGCAAGTAAATGATGACAGAATTTTCATTTTTGGGTGAACTATCCCTTTAAGTGTACGAATATGAAAGCGGTTTGAGAGTGTAGAGAAACCCTTTTCATTTGAGTGCTATTAATGTGCTTTCTGTTTCCATAGCAACAGCGACATCTCTGATTGGTCAATATCTTTTCAGCATTATGGGTAGTGTAGTTCTTCACTAGGGATTCTTAAAAAAGTTGAAATCACACCGATTTTGATACAGTAGGCTTGTCTTGAGGCGTGAAAGGTTTATAAATGTTGCTGTTAAAAATCGACTTCTCTGTGGAGATAATGAATGAGATTTTACTTCCGGAAGCCATCTGTTGTGCTCAAGCGTCAGATCTCTGCCCTCCCAAACGCTCTGTGCCGATCAGCTGCGGTTTCTTCTGTGCATTCAATCACCTCAAGGTACCGACAGCCAACATCAGCGTGAGATATTTCACCAGAACGGTGCAGTCAGCACAATTCAAAGGCTTCTGCTGACAGACTTTATCCAACGAGACTGTGGCTATCTGATATGAGACGAGGTGCAAATGATAAACCTCTGATCTGATATGTGAAACGGCTTTCCTGCCTTCTTACAGCACAGGGCTATTTCACGAGTAATGGGTTTATGTGGCGCATAACCGAATTATTCTTTAATATGACTCCCGCTTGAGGCTTTGAGATGCTGCTTCAGTGCTGTCCTGTGGTTTTCTCCTCATGTAGTAGCACACGTATAAAACCTAAACGTTTAGACAGTTCAATCACATTTATGGTCAGTTATCTACTCTGTTGGATCCACAGTATCCGGATCATATGGCTGACAAAGATGCAGATGTTTGAATAAATCAAATGACATGAAACCTGGCAGAGGATAAATGGAAATGTTATAATATAAACCATCACGCTGCCAAATAACCTTGATTTAGACTGAGTTCCTAATCTCTAAATTCATCATTAAGAAAAACAGCTCCACTTCTGGAGGCAAATGAGATTAATAACCCAGATCATATATTCAGTGATAATGCATTAAAACATTAAGTAAATCTGAGTGCTGCTTGACCGTACAAAAATATGTTGAAGTGACTTCCAGTGCATTGCTATGCTGTAGCTAAAGGCTTCGGAGTAGTTATTAGCACAATGCTGTGCTGTTGCTACCATAGATATGTATTCGTAGATTCCACATTCCACATGTCGACGCGTCTGCCATCTTGGTGTCGTCACTCACAGTACAGATCAATTTTTCCAAGATGCCACAACATTGCATAGCCTCTGGTTTAAAAACCTCCAAGATTTAAACTCCTGAAGAAACAGACTAACCATTCAAAGGTGAGAATATGCTCAAATAAATATAATAATTGCTTGCTTGCATAATTGCTCGTTTTTATTTAGGCTCATTATGCACTAATGAGACAATATATAAAATAAACAGCAATATTTACCTAGATTATATTTACTAAAATACTTTAATATAAGAAAAAAAAACAATTTAAATATTGCTGTTTATTTGATGTAGTATCATATTAGTGCATAAAGGGCCTAAATTAAAATGATTAAACATTATTCTTCTTTAGTGAAAAACCTTTACAGTATTAAACTAAATTTTTACAGCATTCTACTTTTGTTACTAGATGAAATTATAGATTACCTGATTGGGGGAAAAAAATGCAAATACATAAATATTGAGATACTGAATATCATAAATAGGCAGAAAAATATTGGGATTGAAAAATGTTGAGCTATTTTGCAAAGCCTTGCTTAATTTTTTTTATAATACTTTAGAATTAAACTTATATATTTAATTTAGTTTTTATAGCAAAAACAGCATTAGTCATTATGTATGATTTATTTACAGTACATCAGTCAGTTCAAAAGCAAAGCCTTAGTATGAGCAATAATTAATGGTAATATTAATGCTTGCTTTGCAATCATCCCTACATATGAATTACAAAGAATTTTAGTCAAATGGCTTGGTATTTTCGGGTTTTTAAATTTTCTAAGCACTAAACTTCTTCAATGACAATTATTTTCAGGTATGACAATTGTTAAAATTATTTTTCAGAATTGTTATATAATATATAGACTATGTATTTTTAAAAACATTTATGTAATTGTTTTTTTATTTCGTTTTATAGCAAAATGAGCATTCGATATGTTAAGTTAGATTCATCAGTTCATTATCAAAGCTGTCCATTTCAGTGCATCATGTATATGTACATATTGTCATATGTGTCATATTAGTGCATAAAGAGCCTAAATTAAAATGATTAAATATCATTCTTCATTATTTAACTACATTTTTATAGTATTTTACTTTTTTACATTAAATATATTAAATGTACCTAAAAGTTAAAATGATGGATTTACCTGATTGGAAAAAAGGTTTTAAGTTTTAGAAATTATAGAATTAATATTATTTAATTATAGAAAATACATATATTTTTAGATAGTGACACGGAAATATTGAGCTATTTTGCCCAACCTTATTTGAGCAATAATAATTAATGGTGATAGTAATGATTAGCTTTAGCAGCCATCAAATAAATCTTGAATCATTTGGACAGAAAATAAATCCTTCATGCCTCAAAGATTTTAGAAGGTTTTTTTTAGCCAATAGACTGGAATGACAAAATAAACATTTTCATTTGAGACCCTTGTATACCACCTACACATATTAGTCACATGAATCATACGACCTCAAAATATGACACTAATCCGTCATATTCATATGACGCACATGCGAACACAAATCACATACTCCTACAACATATTCTAATTCAAACATAGCCCCAAAAAAAACATCAAAAACATGGGATTCTCCCAAAAATAAAATCAGGCCTTACGGGTAAAATAATCAAACCTAATCATTCCCGTCTACACTGACTCATGACAGAAATCGTAAGACCAGAAGAAAGGGAGATCTTAGAGCAGATAAGACACATCAAGTGTCCTAAAAGGCCTGACAATTGCCAGAGATGCTGTAACATTAACCAGCCCGTCTGTTAGTTTAGGCTGCTGTTCGACTTTCCGTGCGAGTGTAACTTAGACAGCGAAACACAAGCTGGCTTTCCGAACGGTGACAGACGCTATCTTACTCAAAGCTTAGCAACAACAACAACCACCAACAAACCACATAGCCTGCACAAAAGATGATAAGCATGAAGCTTTAATTTTGTGTATATGAGCAAAACATGTCACGAAAGCACCGCTTTCAACTTACTAGCTTCAAAACGGAGCAATTAAACATTTAGAATGGATTATGTAAGGAAACCTACGTGGTAGGTAAAACCAATTATGGTAATGGACGACCTGCAATACAATACTCGAGGGTGCTTCACCTTCAAGCATCCAATATTCCTACCGAGTGCTTGAGTGGGTAGTTATGGAAAAATGCTGAATTTGACAACATGGGGAAGGTGCACATGTAATGGCCTGGTTACAACAGCTAAGGGTCGTACCTGATAACCTCAACAAGTCTGAGAGCATGACTGCTGCAACTCATTCAACCAAGACAAAGCAGAAGTGCAAAATATAGATGAAAATCATTCTAAAAATGTGACCCTGGAGCACAAAACCAGTCTTAAGTCGCTGGGGTATATTTGTAGCAATAGCCAAAAATACACTG